TTTAAAAAAATGCGATTAATACAATCGTTTTCAAGCCCAAGTTCAATAACACTTCTACTCTTAGTGATCAACGGATTCAATATGGATAATTTATTTGCCAAAATAACATAGCAATATTAAGGGAATTTCTAGTAAATAATAACTTCGCTCACCTTTATAGATAATTATCACGTTAAACGTTCATCCCAATTTCAAAAGTGGTTCTTTGAATACCCCACTCACTGTAGACAGATTTAGAGAAGTAGTTTTGTTAAATAATTCTATTTGCTGGTTGGCCGATTATTTTTGTCTGTATAATTGTTTCTTTAGAGTGAGATCACATAAATGTGAACTAAAATTTCATGCATTTTTTAACGAGAATCTGAATAATTGTTCGAAAAAAAATAAAAGTTATGATGTGTAAAGTTCCAAATCGAATAGGATTCATATTTAACTCCAGCTTACCATGTATGGTTTAATTTGGATTCTCGGACTTCAATGATTATTACTAGAATTCGGCTTCGAGTTGTAACAACTTGAGAGTCACAATGTCTACTTTGATGTATTTAGAAGCTTTCTCCAACGTTTTGCCCATCATTACAGGACACGTTTTTTTAGTATATGAATAGATAATTGTTTGATAATCAAATATATGTTTAGCATATACAGATGTTCTCATCGGAATTATTGATCTTTCAAAATATATTGCTTCATAAGCTAGCGAGTAATTCACATGTATTAATTTTTGGACTTTAATCACTATTGATGGCAAATATAATAATCCCATCTTGAGTGCTCTAATGGCATTTGCTTCTCATTTTTAAAGCGTAGTGATTTAAAAATAAAAATGTATTTAATTTGTACTATATAGGCGATTAAAGAATCACTTCGCTGCATTTTTTTTGAATCAATATATTATTATACTCACAAACAGATGCATCTTATTGAGAGTTCTTATTAAAAGCATCAGAAAAACCCTGAAGACAAAGCTGTTTTGTGTGAAAAAAAAACACCGAAAACGCTGTTTTTAAATTAGATATGTTTGACAATTAACCAATAAAGCAATATATTAATTTTGCGAAAATTCGTTAAACAATTTTTTTATAAATTCTAATCACAAGTAAAGAAACTGAGTGCTTAAAATAACTGAAACAACTGCCTCGCCTCCATCTGAAGTTCCAGCTTGCAACTGCAATTAAAAGTCAGCAGTTTATGAAAGATATAAATACTAGTACATCTTGCAAATATTTATATCTCTTGAACAACTTCTAAGTGTATATTTACACGCATTCGTACTGTTGAGCACATGCCGGTGTTGTCCTAAATAATCACGACCTAAGTCAACAAATTTACATCAGAGTTATCTCTCCTAGCCCGTTTTATTCGGGCTATAAATTGTAAAAGAACGGTTTAACCTGAATTTTCTTAATTGGTGTTTTCCTTTGAAAATTAAATAATCAACGTTTACAATCACTTACAGATTGAAAAAGTTATACTGAGTCTACCAAAGGTTCATCGGTCCCAAGGATGGGAATTGGCTGCAGTTACACAAAGTAAAAATATACAAAAACAAGTTATAAACTGAAGTTAATCCAAACAATCTCAGATTGCGGACAATGTTTCGAGGAATAAACCGATTTTAACGGTTTAGAAACTCCAGATGTTTTCTGTCGGTTTAAGTGGCTTTCGACTGTTTGTGTGATTTCACAATGCACATTGTTGCTTCATTTAATTCCACCAAAATACTGAAATCACTAATTACTTTGACACATTTGCATTCCAAGAGTGTGAAGAAACCGTTCGGTTTATTGAGTTATTGAAACCTACTAAACAAAAAATCACAAAAAAACAACTTTTTATAAAGCCTTTTGACTAAAATGTCTCACAAATATTTACAAATGGTTAAATTAAGAAAATATAATCAATCAATTCTGAAATATTAAACTTTATCAGTTTTGAAATTTAAATTTGAGTTGGTTTGAAAAAATGTTAATAATAATACGGGATAACAGTGTTATCTAGTTCAATTTTTTCAGGTTTTCAATTTATAGATCTTTACGTGCATCTATATAATTTTTTAGCCTTAGCCTATTTTAACTTATTTCTGTTATATCTGATTTCAATTTAATATTTTGTGACGATTTTTGACTGTTTTAATCCTTTTTTGGGCTTTTGTTTGGTGCTCTTGAGGGTGGTACTTGTGTTGATTTATTGAAGACGACGTGAATATTGAAAGCGCTTGACCAAAATTCCGGAAATGTGAAACGAATAATGTTTGCTTAGAGTCAGTAATAAATTCATATAAGTACGGCGTATCTAGACTCTCGAGACCCCGCCTAACTGTATGTGAAAAATTTGAACAAAAAGAATACTTGCAAGTACATACTTGAAATTGTACATGCACTTAAGTATTTTGAAAGGCTCAATCTAAATATATAAATTTTACTGTTTAAAATCCCACTATAAATGCGTTTTCAGGCAAAGCAAACATGGAAAAAGAAACATTTTCTAACCGTGTATAATTATCCTTAAAACCAGACCAAATTAACGGATTTCCTCCGATAGCAAACATGCGTCCTGAAAAGTGAAACTGCAAAATACGTATTAAAAACAACTTTCGACATGCTTTTACCCAGATGTGGAACATAAATCAGCACAAAAACAATACATTGGATTATTCAGAGATACAGAGTTTATAGCTTCTGGGTAAAACGAATAATGAACTACCTAGCATTGATTGCTGTCCATAAATAGCGGAAATAACCACTGTTTCATTCACTGCATTGAATTATTTATCAGAAAAAACACGTTTAAGATTGTACTTAACAATACTTAAGGACAACGAATACGAAGCTGAAATCCAATGACTTGAAAGAGAAAATGAACACAAATAAAAACGCCAATATTCAAGAGAAAAGTATATAAAATTAACTTGGTCCAGTAGAAAAACAAATTTTTGAAGGCCAACTCCTGTTTGAAGTAACGGAATCATTTATAAGTGACTGTTAATAAACAGGTTTGATTTGAAAATATGAAATTAAACGATAAAATTCTAAATTTGTATAATCAATAATACAATTTAATGAAAACTCGTTGCGTTTGCATCTTTTTGTCTTATAGAGCTATTTTCTTTTGATGTGACGCAAATAAATGCATTGTTTTATCGATTTTTCTTAACACAGACACTTATTAATTTTAAAATTTTGCATGCTAAAGGTCCAAGGCAGCAAACTTAATATTTTTTGATAAGCGAAAAGAATAAAATACTTTTCCTAAACATCAAGACCAGCACCACGTATTATAGTATGTTTTTGATGTAACAAAGTTTTCAGAACTGATATGTTTATGTTCACTATTACAGAAACGGGAAGTATAAAGCTCAATTTAAATTCCGAAAATAGGACATGTTTATACAAAAGGAAATAAAGTGAAATTTGAAGCGTAGCAAAAACGGTTCTTTACATCTATTTCCAATGTGATGTCAGCAATTTTTGTCTGAATTCTAGAAACATATGCCAATTGCCAATATTCTTTTATGGGTACTCTCTATTCATTTAAAGCTACGAAACTCATCACTAAAAGTACGAATTGTATTACAATTTTCACCTTGACTTGTGATCAATTATAGTACATAACATTATAATTTAATAGTTATTTTTAAACGATTATTGATATCATTATGATAAATTTTAAAACACAAATTGCGAGTCTAGCTGCTTTTTTGGTACAAACTTCTTTATAACTTGTTTACGCATAAAAGCGTATTTTTTAGAAAAAGTTCCTGCTGCCGAAAAGCAAATATCACCACTTTACCACCTAAAATAAATTTTATTATTTTCACTTATTATCTTTTAGTTTTCTCCAATTTTTAAATATTATTATTCTAAATAATTTAAGTATTGTGCTTAATAAATCACAGAGGTTAGTGTTAGATACATATTACTGCAGTTAAATTAAAATTAAGTTTCATGATATACCCCAATTTTATTTGTGATTACGTATGGAACTTTGAATTGCCTTTTGTCATATAAAATATGAGCGAAAATCGATAGTTTTCCGTTCTTTGTGCTGATAAATCGGCAATTTCACCGTTATCTTTAATCGCATAATTTTGGCATTTGGCAGGAGAAAGGAAGAATGCCGCATTAATATATGGAATTCTAAATATTGTGTGTATAGTTGATGTTACAGTAATTACATATATTACGATCATAACAAACGTTCAAATTAATATATTTTTGAAATAAAAATTTTTTAAAAAATCTGTAGCCTGTATTTTTGCCTACTTTGCTGCTCGCTTACTTCTAAAAAACTAAACTAAAATCTAAAAAAATTTATGTACCGACAGCTAACTGAATACATTTGCTAAAAATTAATAAGCGTGCTGCAATACTTGAATATTTCCAATCTGCGAAATGTTTTTAAATATGAAGGCTACATTCCATATAGTTGAATTTCCTGTTTATACATACTTTTCCCCAAATACTACACATAGTTATCTGACTTCAATATAATATAAAACAGCACGTTCGGTATTTACAAGTTATCATGATTCTCCATCGCTTTAGTTGCATTTGACCAGACAGACTCACGACATTGTTTATGAAATTCTTATAAAACTATTTGCATTTTTTAGGGTTTGACTTTGAAGTTGTCCAAATTATGTTAGTGGAACGCATGGGAAATAAAGATAATACATTGTTCTTGAAATCGAAACAAAAACAATCTATTGATCTGTAAAGAACATACAAATGTTATTGTTTTATGTGATTTTATCTGTTGCAACATTTGTATTTAAATATAAATGGGCTTTTAMAAATAAAAAAAATATAAAAATAAAGAATTTTTCTATTWGTAAAAAAATGCTGCCGAAAGTGCGATTAGATAGGTGCAAAGGACAACGAACGCTACATACAAAATAGGTACCTGTTCGTCGGTTAAAAGTAGCTAAAATCGCTCATTTGATTCATTATATTATAGGTGTTATTTGGAAAAATATTAGTGATTTAACTGTGACCTACCTTTACATACCACTTTGCGGATTTTTTGTTCTTTTTTGGTCCAGTACAGGCGCAAAATCGAAATTTAATTCGTTCAGCACTTTTACTTCTCGCATGGCTGTTGTGAGTTCGTTGTTTTCCCGTACATTTCAAAGTCAAAAATTTGGTTTTTTCCGCCACTTCGTGATAGATATCGTTTTGAAAACCGATTGGACAATTGGAATTCGACGTCGGCAACAGCATTTCTCTATCTGCACACCACAAGGTACGTCTAAGCGATTCGTTCAAGTTTACTTTTATAGGGAATTTATCAGTTGGTTTTATATAGTTTTTCTATAGTTGGAATATATTATTAAAAAAAATTTGTTTGCAGAATTTGAAGAAAATGGTTAAAACTTTTGACAAAGGATTGTGACCTTTTTATTTAAAACGACTTCATGTTGCCAATTTTAGAACGTTGTAAGATTTTTCCCTAAATAAGGCATTTTTTTTCAAGTTTTAAAAATTTTTCTATGCCATTACTTAAAACCTGTTGTAAGATGAAATAGTCCAGTATATTCTTATGTGTTTTGCCTAATTTTGAGTTTAGCCAACATAGATACGCTAATTAGTTGTAAACTTCCTCTCACTATTTATAAAATGACTAAAGTCGTTAGATTGCTAATGTTTTAAAACTGGAATAATAAAAAATGTTTGTATAATGTACAAATGTAAAATGTATAAATTATGTTCGAAAGGTCGATGCATGGAAGTTATAGTTCAAGTAAATTTGAATATATTTGTCCAATAAATAAGGAATATTAAGGAACAAAATATGAACTTTTTCATGTACAGTGTTATAATTGTGATTAATTTTTTATTTATTTATTTAATTAGTAATGCCTAACAATACATGTTTTGTGATAAAAAAATTATTTTCACTTATACCAGTGCACGTCTGTGTAATTTTGAACGAAAAATATTAACCGATTTTTCTTAAAATGCAAAATACGTTTCTGGCTTTCCTTTAATTTAAAAGAGAAAATATAGATTGTATCTACTTGATCACCAAGAATTTTTATAGTTATCCGAAAGTTTCGTTATGTTTAGTATACAAATTAAATTACTCTTTATATACTGAGATCGTCTTTTAAAAGTAATTGTCTTAATTGTTGAACAGAATTTTGTAAAGTTTAAAGGGATTTGCGTTTGTTTTTGTTTTCAGTTAAACCTATTTTGATTTTTCATTATTGCAAAATTTCTCAGGAATTCTTCTACAATGCTGTATTATCCCTACCAACAAATAATGTATGCTTTTGATAAGTTTTTTAACATAAGTAAGTATGACAACTTGCAAGCTTGCAAGCTTTTTTATATACAGAGATATACAGGGTGTTCCATAAATATATCAAATAACTTTTAAGGGCACCAAGGGACAGCCAACAAACAAATTTGCTTCATAAACATATTTCCAAAAACGCTGTGTTCAAGATACAGGGTGTTGAAAGTAAAATATTTAGTTTCTTTCCCGCTGTGTGGAAATTTCCCACAACCGCTTTTTTTCGGCAGTGGGAGCCTGCTTTTTGAAAAAGTTGCGTTTTTGGCCATATAAAGCTAACAATATTTTCTTGATGTCCTTTATCACCTCTAAAACTTTGTCGATATATTTACAAAACATCTTGTATATTTATAAACAATATTTATTCCTTAAGAAACAGGCCATGGACCTAAATCGATCTTTCTATCCGATTTTCCAATATAGTGCGATTGTTTATTTGCATTGCATTATCAGAAAGCGGTGGTAAATACAGGGTGATTCAAAATTGGTGTCATTCCTCTGGAGGTGTTGTTTGGGGGTGTTTGAGGAGTACAGAAAAAATAGTTAAAAAATTATTGATATTAAAAACTGAGAAACTTGCAAAAAACTGTATCAGCAGGGCTACAATGTTTTTCAAGGTAATCTGCCTAATTAACATTACGCAAATAAAGGAGGGTTAACTCCGGTAACCATGGAAAAATACAGAGCGACAATAAAATATATATAAGGATAAACGGTAAAATCAACAAATTGTTCTTTATTCTTATCATAACCTCGAATTGTTGTGTATGCAAATAAACATTCATTTCTGTCTTTAACTCCAAACAAGTTAGCTCTTCTCGAGCAGCTTCGGGTATTCGGTTAATTAATGCCTCTAGGTCTGGAAAAAAATTGTATTTTTTCTCGTACTTTCCAAGTGAGCCCCTATTACCCCTTAAAAGGAATGACGCCAATTTTGAATATGTATGTATACTTGATTATTTCTAATTGCCACCAAAAATTCAGTTATGACATAATTTTAAAATTATAGTACTTCTGCTTTCTAAACCATTTTTCAAAAAATGCTTGATGGGGAATTCAAAAACGATTCGTTGAGGGAATATTGAAAAGTGAAATTTACAACGAAAACCTGGATTTTCAAATTCAATCGGGATTAAATCTAATTTAATAAAATTCTGAAGACATCCGCGCCTAGAATTTTTTCTGGTTTGTTCTTTTATAGTTATTCCACTGATTTCGTGTCGCGTGCACTGATAAGAACATTTTCAGAAAAAAGCGTGAGATATTTAAGCAAAACATAAACAAACAATAGGGCTGTTTCATTAAAAAGCAGCATTTCTGGTATTGAAAAAGGTGCAGTTTTCCGTCTTTGTAGATGTTGAATAGTAAGTAAACTTTTTTTCTTCACATCTTACAAGAACCAGTGGCCACTCCCTTTGAGAAGAAAGCAGGAAAACCGAACCACTTTCAAGCAAAGCAAAATCTATGCTTTTATGTTTGCAAAAAACCAAGACACTACCAATAAGTCAGAAAAAATAACTTTAATTGCACAGAAAGTAATTGATTGGCTCTAGATGTACCTTGGATGCAGATAGTGTTAAAAAATAGTAATGTTCAATTCAAATAAATGATTATTAAACAATGCACGACACAAACACCAAACAATCTGACCACTTGAACTGGCAGGTTTGAAGGCACAGGCTGCACTCGGGGGGTGAATCATTGCAAACGCTCCCCTTGGGTCATCCCTTAGCGATCGATCGAATTGCAAACAGAACAGGGCTGAGCCCAAAGCGGATCTAACTTTATTTGTCTTTGCGTGCAACTACGCTGCACGTTTACTACTAATTACGAATTGGCTGTACGCGAACGAGAGTACCAGCGTTTAATTTTCAAATGCGGGACCGGCAAAACGATACAGTGGTACTGAACACAAAACGCTACAAATTGGGAATCGTGCTACCGCTGCCGCTGATGCGCTGACCGCTTCCTCTTTGGACTGTAAACAGCGTACATTGTATGTACATAACATCGAAATCATGGTCACGGCCGCCAACTATAATGGACTTATTTAGAAACCATTAACGATAAAGTATCAGAAATGTGATACTCAGAGTGTATCTAGAAGATAAAGGTTAACATAAAAGAAGGGTATACATGCGACCTTTTCGACCCCATAGGCTTTATATTGCTAGTAAAGTTTTTACAACCTTCTAGAAGATGTAGGAAAATGTCATTCTAACTGCAAATTTGTTCCGCAATACACTTAACAGAAGAGAAAGGGTCAATTAAGGAAGTTGTATTTTGTACAGCCTGCAACGCAGTTTTGTGTTAATATTTCACTTGGGCTGACCTCTCAGATACCGTCACTTCGAGAACTTATAATTAATAAATCTACGGTTTAACATTGCTTGGCCGGTGCAGAATCTGAATTTGTAGACAAAATTCCTTGGGTATCCACCAAATAGTTTCTCACAAAATGTTTGTTTTTGCAAACGCTTTTGACCATTTTCAACTAAATCATGCTTGTTTCCGCCACTCGTGTTAACAATATGCTCACTTTATAGACACTCCGTTTACTAACAACTTTCCTTGTTTTTTGTGTTAATGCGGTTCTCTACCATTTTTTACTAATTGAAATTAACTCTATCCATCAGAAAGCCCAGCACGACATGAGGTTCCGCGCTTTTCCGCAGCGACTCCACGGAAACGCAGTTTCGACATCAGTAAAGTCCTATATAACTTTGTATCTTTCTTTCTCGATAAATCCAAGTGCTCAATAGGAAAAACATTCTTCTTATACGTACTCATTACATCTTTCATCCAAATCAATAAATGCCTATATCACTTTTCGCTCAACACAACGCATTTAAATTAAAGCTACTATCATGTTATATTAATTCGACACGTTTTGTGCATAATAACAATACTGGTGCTATTCCATCATTGTGGGGTTATTATTAAAGAGTTTAGTTGCTTCTACAACAACACTGTCCTCGCCAGATGCTCTGTTGTTCTTCATTTCTGACAACGGCTTTAAGACCTTATTTTCTCTTATCGTTGGCATCTCTTCCGATCCTTGGTTCATTATGTATATTTTTAGATGCTTCTGCTTGACTCAGATTTCTGTAGAACTTGGTGTAAAAGTCCTCGACAATCTTTAACATTTGTTCTCTGCTACTTGTTTGTCCTCTTTCATTCTCCAATTTATTAGTTATTTCCGTTTTTCCCGACTTAATTTATTACGTAGCACCATCATGTTTTTATTATCTTTTATAAATCCAGTCACCCATTTATTTTTGTAGTTTCTAATGTCAGTCGTTGCGGTTTTTCTTACATCTTTATTCAGTCATCTTAGCTCATCCTTTTTTTGCTGGTGCCTAGTTATTTTCTTCTCTGTTTCATTAAATTTTTAGTATTTATTGAGAGTTTCTTCCTTTTCTGTTTGTTTCAAGCAGTGTTGCTTTTGAGCGACGTTCATTTGCTTCTATGTTCGATATGTTCTTCGAGATTACCTTTAACTTTCATTTATGGTTTTTCTGGTATTTGTCAACATCGTCTACGTTTGTCCACTTCTTGCTGCTCTACCCAATCACAAGCTTATTTTGTTTTCTCTTCAAATTTAGTAGTATTTTCGCTCTCACCATTCTGTGGTCGCTCAGTCAGTTTCGTTTTTTGTTCTGTCATAGGGACTGATCCATCTCCACTTTCGATGCTCTGCCTTTTTGAAAAGTATTTATAGCCGCGATTCGATGATGCAGAAGAAACTGGAGCAGCAGGTTTCCTCGTTCATTTCCTTCTCCTTCCCATGGCATCCCAGTGAAGTTTCTCGTTCATTTGGTTCGTGCCTAACTTGGCATTAAAGTCTCCAGCCAGCAGTGTTAAATAGACTTGGAACGTTAACATTGCTTGAGTATATCACCGTAACATTTTTTGATATTTTCGTTTGAGTGTTGAGATGTGGGTGCATAGGCTTGGATAATTTTGATGTATCGTTGGTTCAGTTTTAATATTATATAACACACTCTAAAGCTTGTTCTGTTGAGTTGTATTATATCTTGTATCTGTGGCAGTACATATTTCCTGATTTTAGAAGAAGTTGTTTCTGTCCAATTTTGCGAATTTCACTTATTCAAAGTACATTTCAGTGTACCTGTTAAAGTTCTTCCAGCTCTATTCTTTCGTCGGATGAAAGAGTTCTTGTATTATGTGTGGCGATATTCAATACAATTTGAATTAAGGTGTCTTTAAAAAATCTTTAACCAACAGAATATCATTTTATCTTCCATTAGAACCCGAAATGTGTTCATTTTCATCATTTTGGATAGTTCCGTTCAAGCGACGAGATATCAGGACTCAATAGAAAGTCATTGATAATCTCGGTGCCAACACACGAAATTACTAAATCTTCTGCGTAATGGTGTAAATCATGTGAATTAAAAACATAACTTTTGGAAAAATCAGTTCATCAATGTATAATAAATACTCTACTAGTTTAGTTTGGGTCACGTTCTCCTGCATCTTAAATAAAGCGGTATAATTAAAGTCGTCTATCAAAATCGCGTGATTGTATAAAAAGGATGAAGACGCTGCTGTCTTATGATTCGATAAATTGTACTTTCAGTGCTATACGGTCACTATTGATATTAGGATTTTCAGAAATCCTATTTAGAACGTTTTTGTCAACGAATTTCGAAATTGAGGACGAGCTACACGGGTAAGTATCCAGGCTCCCGCAAAATTCCTTGTAATTCGCGCCCCTTATTTTCTTATATGCAACGATATTACAAATTCGTATTTTTCACATCCTTCACATAAGTGTTCAAGAGTCACGTAACTATAAAATTGTGATCATACTCGATCATATTTTATCAAAATTTGTATATCGATTTTTCATGGTAGTTTTTTCACTTCTTTTCAAGCAGAACTCAACCGCGGAGAATAAATTATTCATCATATTCATCAGTGATTAGAAAAATCCTGTTGCTAATGTTTAACACACAGTGTCGATTGAAGTTGATGCCTAAGTATAAAGTAGGTCAAAATAAGAAAATTATATTACAACTCAAGAAACATCTAATGACGATTTCTTTTTCGTGCTTATGCTACAGTAACAGTGATACAACTATTTTAAAATTGATAAAGTCCTTCAAAGGATAATTCGGTTGACACTTCTTAAATTTACCAGTCAGTCTTTTAAATTACTGTTTCAGCATGATATACAATATCATTGCATATCATATCATCAATATCGTGTTAGTCTTTGCCACACAAGTTTACAAATCGAAGCCCTGCATTCCAGTCCACCACCAGTAATTAATTTACCAGCCCAAAGATGTAAAACAGTGTACTGACCAAGCTATCAGCATCATTCATTTTTTTCTCGACATTGTGGTTGAAGGATGGTTCTATACAGTTCTGTCTAAACCCGATAACAGAGCACTAGGATCTGCAGTGGTGTTAAATAGGATAAACATTGAGAAACATAGTTGTTACTTCCTGTATGTTGAGTTAAAGGGCACTCAGAATTGGACAGGGTGATTTAAAACATTTCCTTTACTCGAAAACAATCACAAAAGCAAAACAATTTCGACAGTCATTTCTAAACTACAGCGACACAACAGTAACGTAATTTAATAGAAAATTAAAAGCGAATTGGAAACGTAACAATTGCACAAAAATATGATGACAAAATTTTCTCATGACAGCTTTCACTTCAAACAGATGTAACCTGTAACGTCATTACAGAATTTTAATATAAAGGAAACTCTAACGCACTTGGTTGTCATGAATATTTCAACCGAAATACTTCGATCTCCGACGTCATACTTTAATGAATTTTGATAATTTTACAAAGGTACTTTATTAATTTAACCTATTCGAACATTTGAACCTAAATTTGTGGTAAAAAAATTACTCCATGATGTGTTTGTTGTCATATAGCAATTTTAATAATAACAAATATCCATCTGGTTACAGCCAGCCAGTCCCGGTTCATATTTTTGTTGAGCGCGCCATCTAGTGCTCATCGCTATGAAACAAGATTCATTTATTTATCATCCCAGAAATCATCTGATCAATTCCGAAAGATGTCAAGTTCATTAGTTCATAGTACAATGTATTTTTAATTGAACGAAAAGAAGTGTTTTTGCATTATTCATAGTTATTTGAGTACACACTGGCATTATTTCGGAGTTATTGCTCGATATTTGAGCAAATTTAAAATGATCAACATCGCTCAGCCCCAAACATAACATATAACATAACCCCCCAAGTCCCCATATATCATGACCAGCTTCATAGAAAATTCGCTATAGATAAATTAAATGATCAAAATGGATTTTATGCCAGTGAAAGTTGGCGAGAGGAAAGAATTTATTAAAACAATTGAGTGGGACATGATGGACAAAACCAAATTCTTTCCATTGTCGATGTTAAGTTCGTTTAGTGTTCGCTGTGCTTTGTATCCTTTAACCTTAATAAAAACTAGATTGCAAGTACAGAAGCGTAATGATATGTACACGGGTAAGCTTGTCGTTATATTTCCTATATTTTTCTGTTCTTATTTACACATATTCCATCAGTTTTGATGTGTTTGGCAAACTTTAAAAACCATCTAAGGCAAGGGTCTTCAACGCGCGGCCGCATGTCCTACCGGCTGATTTCTTGCGGTCCCCAGAGGCTAAAGAAAATACTTTGAAATTATATGTTTTTATTTTATTTTATGGATGTATTGTGATTGTAGTAGTGGTTCAAAAAAGGTTGAGGACCCTTGATCTATGAACTTGGAATAGTTAAATACCTACACATTTATAATAATAGTTACGCAGATTTTGTTTTGATGTTTACATAGGTTACTGCATCGGATTTTTTTAAATTCTAGGTATGTTAGATGCTTATGGAAAGATATACAGATACGAAGGCGTTTCGGGATTGTACAAAGGATTTTGGATCTCCTCTGTACAGATAGTCAGTGGTAAACAAATAATATTACTTGAACATGCTTGTATATACACTGGACAAAATTAGTGCACCAGCTATAAATAAAAAAAAATTAACTATTTACAACATTTTTGTCCAAATTAATTAAAACAAACGATTTTAAAAAGTTCACGTTTTTGAGCGTTTTGTAGTTCGAATAACTCCCTTCGAAGCTCTTGGAACAAGTTTCTGATTAATACTGGGGATGTGAATGCCATTTCGTCGCCGAATGGCGTTCATCAGAGCTCCCACTAAAAGAAGAAGCGAGTTTTTAGCAAATAGGCAAATGGACTGAAGAACAAGTCTACATGCCAGTTTCATTAAAATCCATCTGAGCGCTTTCCCAAAGCTTTGTTAATGTAAAAAGTTAATTACTGTCTAAAGTTGTCAGTTGGCAAGAGAACAGAAATATTTTTTTGCGCAAAAGCTATGAATGATACAAGATTTTACAAAGGGACAAACATGTCATAAGAGGATTAGCGCATCAACTCAAAAAAATTCAGTTGATTCCACCCACCAAATAAAAAGTTCTGACAGTTTTTGTACCAAGAATAAAATGAGTCTTACATATTACCGATATCACAGCGAGTTTTATCAAAATCGACAGTACCGTTCTCCCGATATTTGAAAAAACATATATTTTTTTGAAGAACTGAGCATCAGTAGTAAATGAACCAGACATTTTTTTCTCAATAAAAGTTTGGTCAGATCGCAGTCTGGTTGAAATATACCGCAGTATCCTTTTGATCATGTGCTTACGGGACACCCTATATATGTCAATCCCAAAGTGACCTTATTTTGGAATTTCTTTTTATTTGTTAAACAGTAACGCGTTAAAAGTAAAGCAACTTTTGAGTTTTACTGAAAGAATAGTAGATAATAATAGTGTGTGCGTGAGGTCTGTTTTATACTTTTTTAAACATAGTCTATGTTAAATTCGTCATGTTCAATTTCAAAAAACTTGAAGCAAAGAGTTGTATTGCATTTTTATAATACACTTAACGTTTCGCTCGCATCTGGTGCAATCATCATAAAATACACTTCACTCTGATCTCATCCCAATTATTATAGTTTGCCCTTTGAAAGGTGAATACAATTTACGTTTTTTAACAGTGTCAAATATTTTAGGTGTTTTCTATATTTCCACATATGAAGGAGTCAGACATCTATTATCTAAAAAAGATATTGACTCTAGACTAAGAGCGCTGGTAGCAGGAGGATGCGCCTCTTTGGTTGGCCAAACCATAGTAGTACCTTTTGATGTGCTCAGTCAGCACCTTATGATGATTGGCCCAGTTGGCAAAGACACTGTAAGAAGTTGCATTTTTTTTATTAACAATGCTTAGATGCAATATGTATTATTTATCACTGCACCTTGTAGCGTTTGGCTACTGAGCTAAACTTTCTGGCTCAAAGAGTCATTGGATCGTAATCCCTTTAAGTGGATGTACATATTCAATTATTTACAGATAGCGTTTAACCCTCTGCAAATAAACAATAGCCCTGGCCGAAGTAAAGTAGCTATTACAGCCGAATTGACGAGAAGAATATTCAAAATGGATGGCTTTAGAGGATTTTACAGAGGTTATTGGGCAAGTTTGGCCGCATATGTTCCAAACTCTGCCCTTTGGTGGGGATTTTACCATTTCTATCAAGGTAAAACGTTATTGATACTATAAACGAGTTTTCGGCGTTTTGCTTAATAATTTAATAACTCATCCCGTTAACTATAAATGAGTTAACTATTCCTCTTAGTTGTAGTAAATGGCACTACTAACTACTAATTACTGGTAACGTTGTTTTAAATTTATTCATAGCAGATATCAGCTAAATCTTTTCTGAAATTCTATAAGGCAGAATATAAGGGTTCTTTATTTAGAATTGCCACAGACATTTTGATATATTACTTCGATTTTTGATATATTCAATAGTAATAATTGCTCAATAAGTTTTTTATTTATATGTTATATAAAAGCTCAAAATAAAAACACTAGAAGTGTTTGCATTAAAAAAAAAACATACAAACAATACATCGTTGCGGGTCTTAACGGTCTTAACGTGTTTTTGGGCCTACTGCTGTAAATTAAAGCATCACCACAAAACAGCGAAAGATTTGCTCGATTTTCTATAAAACGAACTTAGTTTTAACTGGATTTATTCTATTCCAGAGATTCTTACCCTATGACAAATCCCTATGCGCGAAAATATAACCAGCGTTAAACTTTTCGCTGCTTCGAATTTGCAAGATTATATTTTCTTTGTCTAAAACAAGTATTTTTATTTTATTTTTCCTGTGTAGTTTGGTTGTTGAAATCCCGAAAAGGAAAATGTGTCAGTAGGTGCGTTAGGGAATTTTACACCCCTAGGCCTATTTAAATCCCCTGTTGGGAATAATTTCAGCGTTATTTTGCATTTACATTTGTTATGGACATTTTTATAATCAGTGTAAACTAGATATCAACCGTCTTAAGTTACGTCGACAAACAATTTATATTATGCAAGTTTGGTTCCATCCATTACACCTGTACCATTAGCTCCACACATATGGATAAAATGTGTTTTAAATTATTTTAGATGAGCTCTTCAAAATAATTCCATCCTACGTATCTCATCTGCTAATACAAACTCTGGCAGGCACATTAGGCGGTTTTACAACTACCATTATTACAAATCCTTTAGATATTGTGAGGGCGCGCCTACAAGTTCAACGAATTGAATCCATGCGACTAGTTTTTAGGGATCTGTGGAGGGAGGAACGTTTTCTAATGTTCACCAAAGGGCTAAGTGCCAGGTTGGTGCAGTCAGCTACTTTTAGTTTTAGCATTATTTTAGGCTATGAAACTATCAAAAGAGTATCTGTTAACGAGGAGTATAGAGAGTATATCCGTTGGTGATACTATCATTGTTTATCTTTGTTATTTAGTAAAATTTATCTGTTGATTTATTTCATATTTTATTGAATCTGTGGTTTAGATTTATGTAAGGGGCTCGCAAAATAATTGATTGAAATTCAAATACACACCAAAGTGTTCCATATGCTAGAATAGGTAGAGACTTCTTGTAGTTTTAAAATTAAAGAATATACATTTTTGTTCAGTTGTTTGTTAGTTCGGTTGGTTTTTTGCGCACAAACGATTGCAATGCGATTATTAAAAGCTAGGTCCAAAATACGTCTAAAATACGTTAATTAATATTTTCCGTAAGGAAGTCTAAATATGAATACAAGCAAAAATCGTTTCCGGCTAAAAAGCGGAGGGTCGCGATGTTTATGTTCATTTGATCATGAAGTTAACAAGTGTGTTTTTTAAGTAAAATTGACGATTCAGTGTAAGGCTGAATGATATGGAAGTATCTCAAATGCCACAAAGAAATTCCTTGCAGTTTCGAAAAAAGAATTTAAATTTATTACAGAGCTCATTTCATCTAATTCTGAGGTGCGTTTGAATAGTCATTTCTTATATTCAACCAAACGCAAAGCCGCGAAAAAACGGAAACTTGCACCAGGGAGCTTAATCTATTTTATCTTCAAGCCTACAATTGACTAGAAAAAATAGGATGCCTTTTTAACCAGGAGTATAGTGAATCTTATAAATCCGATGTTGTATCTATCCAAATTTCATGGTGCGGGCAGCAAATTAGAATCAATTATTTTGTAAACATTAATCCAAGCACTTCAACAGACATCTTTTGCCAATTAAAATACACAAACCCTTGTCGCTTTTTTATAGCAAAAGTTTTGCATTTTTTACATGACATAATATATATAGAACTTCGGCCGCAAATTGCGTACCGCTTAAATTTCAAGTTTTTCAGTAACTTCTAATAGAGCGCCAGAAAAAATCATTCTTTATTAGCAGCATATGCTTGTAATTGAGTTCAGTCGAATTCTCAGTTCGATCGTTTGGGTAGGGAATGCTAGGCTATTTATTAAAGTACAGTTTAATTGAACCAAATATTGTAAACTAAATGTATATAACCATTTTTAAAAATTATTGAATGTTGAAAGTATATTTTTATAGTTTTTTTTTGTTTGTTTAGTTTACTATTTATTGATAAAGGTTTATTATTGTGTTACCGTTCAATGTCTTTTTTAACTTTGCGGAACCATTGATATTTACTGATGTATTCGTCGTAGTGACAAAATTAAAATTTGTACGAAAATTATATTATTAATTGATATTCATCACTTTGTCCAGAGCAGTCACATATTCAGTTTTAAACCTGCATTGTCATGAAACTTTAACAACAATATTTAGAACTTATATGTTGTTCGCTAGGGTAAATAAATCTTACTTCATCAAGATTCAAGGGTTTAAAACTCATCATCATCATCATTTTTGAGGCCTGGTTTGTTGTTATTTTAAAAAGGATTAAAGTTTTTAAATGATTATTATTGTAACCTAGATCGTTAATGTTTTACATCATTCATGTGCATCAATAAATAACTGGTTCGGCATAAGTGACGAAGATAGAACATATGTCTACACTGTTTTTATTAGAAGTTTTGACAATAAATTATATCGATAGATGTATAATTGAGTATTGATTATTTTCCTCTAACAATGCTTTGACGATAATACGGGTTATACGTTTGAAAAAGATGTTTGTTCAATCATCACATTTCGAGAACCATGAATGTTGCATTTAAGAAGTTGAACTCAATGAGCCAGATGCCTCGTAAAGTAAGGATGGCAAAAATCGAGCTAAATTGCGTGTCTATACAGGGTGTCCTACCGGGAACCGCCAGCATAAATAAAAACGAGTACGACGTGAGTACGTCCGCCAGGGTAGTAAGCAACAGACGAAGTTAAATACAAGAAGGACATGGCGCAAGCGCACGGCAGAGCATCAAGAGAAGACATTATGTTAAGGTTCTATCTTTGTCAGACCGGTCATAAGCATACAGCTTGCACGACGGCTCGTAGCGCGTCGTGATCCATCGCAGTCCGAGCTTCGATATGCAATATTTCCGATTGCTCCTCCATAGATGCGCAGAACATACCCCCTAGGGGGAATATTTTGTGCATAGATGAAGACAAGTGCTCCTCGGTCACCATATGAAATTTTCGGGCTGAAATGAAAAAATATAAAGGTCAAGTTGGGAGCCCATAAGGACTGGTGTGGTGTGGATTAAATACGCACTATGCGCATGCACCTCGCATTTGCGTTTGCAGTTCGTGGGAATCCGGGGATAAATTTTTATTAGTAACTTCTTCGACTGATTTTTCGAAAAGGGATATATTACATAATAAAAGTTGTAAGGAACAATTTACGTACGAATAGAAAAGTTGAAAAAAAAGTCCATGAGTTCGTATAACTATAATTGCGTTACGACTGCATTAACTTACCTACTAGTTCTAACAACAATTTTTGAAAAAATTTAAAGACTTCTTCGCATGTGTTAAAAATTGAAGCGCTATACCTTTATAGACAAATATTGTCTATTTGGTGCATTTTCCAG